GTCCTGGAAACCTTGCTTCCAAAATTCCTTACAGACTTACTCTACCCCTGACCCTGTCCCAACCTGAGGGTATACAGTGAGTGACCCATCAGGACCCCAGTGCAGCTCTTCCTGCCCATGGGTCCTGCCCCCGCGCTTTCTGCACCAAAGACGTCTTCAAGAATTCCTTTTTGGCCGTCGGCTCTGAACGCCATGGACACACACACCCCCGTCACCCCAAAACTTCATCAGTGGGAACCCAGAGGGGAGAGAACGGGGGGGGGGGGAATCCTGGAGCCTGGAGCTTCCCCCTGTGTGTGGCACGGTTCAGGGCGAGCCGCCCACAGCCCTTGGGCAGTCAGAGGTGGCTCTGCGTTAAGAAGGCCACCACTAAGCACTGAGGACCTGAGGACAGAGCAGCCTGGGGTGGGGGGTTGGGGGTGAGGCCACAGCTCTGCCCAGGAGATTCAGGGGACATACAGTCCCTGGGCTGGCTGCTCGGCCCATCTCCGCTGGAGAGGCCAGAAAGAAAGCAGAGGACAGGCAGTGTGAGCCTTTGTGTCTGCTCGAGCAAGTCACCATTGGCCCCACGTGGGGCATTTGGCACCTCCACGCTCCTCTTGATGTGGGCATAACCTTCAAAGTCCTGCCTATTGGGGCGCCTGGGTGGCTCAGTGGGTTCGGATCATGATCTCTCCGTTTGTAAGTTCTAGCCCCGCATTGGGCACACTGCTGTCGGTGCCGAGCCTGCTTCAGATCCTCTGTCCCCCTGTCTGCCCCTCTCCTGCGGCTCAAAAAGAAACATAAAAAAAAAAAAAAAAAAAAAAAAAATTCTTGCCTATTAGAGTGGAATGTCATTTGGCCATAAACAAGAATGAAGCACTCATACATGCTATAGCTTGGATGAACCTCGACTACACGGGTCCCTTCCGCTTCCCTGGCGCTAGGGCTCTCCCACCACCTGCCGCGGCGCGCATCCCCCTGGAACCCGCATCCCCGGCTTCGGCCCCTTTAAGACGGCCATGGAGGACCCAGTTTCAAAGCCCAGGGAGACCCTCTGGCTGCCGCCTCTATGGTGAGTCGTCACTTCCGGCCGGAAGTCGGTGCGTCCCGCGGCTTTGGCGCGAGGTGGGGTGGGCAGCGAGCGCGGAAGCGTGATTCCTCGTGTTGGGAGGAAAGGAACCCCCTCCTTTTGTCCCCCGCACTTGGCTTCGGGCTGATCGCGGGGGCGGTGATGACTACTCTCGGCGGGGCACGGGCCTCGGGAGCGCTCCCCGCAGGCCCCGGACGGGGAGGCAGAGGGGGCTCGGGCCGAACGCGGGCTCCGAAGCCGGGGCGGGGCGGGCAGTAGGTGCGGCTGCTGGCCGATGAGTTTTGGAGGTCCCGCCCGTGCGGGGTGGCGGGGTGGGGGGGCAAGGCGGCTTCTGGGGAGCGTGTGGATAGCGGATGAGACACCCTCCTAGAGCACGTTGTGTTACTCTTTCCCCAGGGTCTCCTCGGAAAACGAGAACTTTCCCGTCCCCCGGCGATTAGATGCAGGCAGGCACCGATTGGCCGCTTTGTCCTCGTCGGTCACAGCACCCAGAGCACCCTCCCTATGGGGATCCAGGTATGCCAGTCACGGGGACGGAGAGTCTTGAGGCCGATGGTCTGGGGAGAGGCTCCTGTGTTGCTGAACCTGCCTGCTTGCGGGTGCAGCCTTGTAACCAGACAGCCCGACCCTGACCTAAAGTAAATTCCCGGGAGCAAGTTTTTCCTGGGGTTTGAATTTGCAGTAACAGGTGTGAACATTCTAGCAGCAGTTTGATGATCATGTATGATACTGCAAACAGGACCTACGCTGAAAGAAGGAAAAAACCCTTACAGTTAGTATCCGAAAACGGTGGTTCCCAAACATCTGTAAACAGAGTGTGGAGACTTAATAAATATTGATAATTTTGGCCAGGCACCGTGCTAAACGTTAAGGGTACAGAGATGAACAAAACAGCCCAGGCCCTGGTTCTCAGGGAGCTACAGCCCCCGTCGGGGGAGAAGAGATTAAATGATTGCACTAAAGAGGGTGTAATTCAAAGCCCAGCCTTGTTAGCAGGCGAATTACAGCGTGATGGAGGCTTTCCTAAGGATGGGATCCTTGAGCTGGACTCTGGAGGATATGTGGGGGTTTCGTGGAAGGCCACGGGGCAGCACGTGCAAAGGCCCGGTGGCCTAGCAAATTGTGGCTAGTGGAGGAGCCGAAAGAAGGCCATTATAACCCAAAAAGCAAGAGAATGGGGTGGAATGAAGCTGAAAAGGCGGGGAAGGGCCAGACCACACGGGGCCTGTGGCTCATGTGAGCATTTTGATCTTTCCTAAGAATGTGGGGCATCGTGGGTTTTAAGTAAGAGGATGAGGTGCTAACATCTAATTTCAAGAGAACGCTGTGTACAGAACTGTGCTGTCCGATAGAACACGCCGCGGTGACGAAGTGGTCTACACCCGCCTTGTCCAGTTGAGCAGTCACAAGCCACAGGTGGCAGTGAGCACTTGACAGCATGGCTGGTGCTCCTGGGGAACAAGATTTGTCATGTTAATTTCAGCATAAACAGTCACACGTAGCTGGTGGCCACCACGTTGGGCACGCGTGTAGCGCGTTTTGAAGGGCACGGGAGCACCTTTTTTGGGATCATGCCACACGCACCTTCTCGTGTCTCCTGCACTGCATCCCGTCCCGGGTCAAGGCTGAGAGGGATCCTGCTTTTTGAGAACCCTCCCACTGTCTCCTGAGGAGCTCGCACACCGCAGTGCCTGCTGGTGGAACTTGGGACTTTGGGCTCTTGGCCACAGGTCCTCCTGCCCCTCCTGCTTCCTCGGCCTGGTGGGCTGTCCCCATGCAGAGGGAGCAGTGCCTGCAGGGGTCACCGCGTCACGTCTGTGCCTCGGAGGGGATGTGAGGAAAAGTGGTCCTGGGTGTTGAGGGGCTTAGCATCCGGAGAGGTGAATGTCATATGCTATGGAGCCACAGGAAGGGACATTTCCAATAGCACTTCTTGGAATGGGACCCCTGTGAGGACATAACGGCCGTTTCCAGCTGCTGAAGTGTGGCAAAAAGCAGGAAGCCTGAAAATGCTTGGGGGATGTGAGCAGCTCACACGTTGGGGCCAAACTGGGGAACTAAATGGCCGGAATCGGAATCGGGCAGGACGGGAGGAAGGCGTGGGTGGGCGTGGGGTGTGGAGGCTCGGTCAGAGTTCAGGTTTGCCGTGGCTCCTGTGCAGGCAGGTTTCTGAGGAAGGCCCCAGGCGGTATGCGGATTACAGCCCAGGGGGTGGTGGGTTGGGAAATCACTGTGGGTGCCTTGAGGTAGAAGGTGATGAGCCCTCGGAGGGAGCCCGCAGGCTTGGAGGGAGGAGGGGCTGGTGGACGCAGGGTCACTGCCTCCCACCTTGTGTCCCGGGGCCGCTTGCTCGATTCTGGAGGGTGTCTTGCGGTGCTAACACACTTGCCCGGGTAGAAGAAAAACTGATGTGCACTTTCTTTGCAGGTGAGTTGACGGGAAGATCTGTGTGCAGGCTGAACGTGTGCCAGTTCCCTTTCTGCCTGGTTCCGTGTGCCTGAAATAGAATTGTTGGGGCCTGGAACTTTCCAGATTCCTTTGGTTTCATTCCCTCAACCATGTCACTTTGGAACGCGGGCCCTGTTCGTGCTTAAGACCCTGTTTTGTACGGACCTAAATAAAAGGGGTCAGTCCCCAAGGAGCATTTCACGCACTTCGTGGTTTTCGTTCCCAGCGACCTTGTGCGTGACGGGTCGCTTCTGCTTCTGAGAAACGTCGATGGCAGCAGTGTTCCCAGCTGGAGAGTGACTTAGGGAGCCAGCCACAGGTCTCTAGGAAGTGTGAGCGCTGGGGACGCGTGGAGGGAAGTGACTGTTGTCTCCGTGATCTGAGGGGGCAGGGGGAAGGCTGGTGTAGCTCAAGGTGGTGGTCACCTTGTTCAGATGTCACTTGGGTAGAATTTCCAAAGACGGCTGTGACCTTGGCACTGATCGCTGCCAGGCACTGCCCGTCCCTGCCCCCTCCCCGATGTCTCCAGCCCCGTCTCTCCCAGGCCTTCCTGTCTTCTGACTGCTCACCACCTACTGATGTGAGAAAAGGAAAACCCAGCCCGCCTGTGTTTGTAGCTGTCGCGTTAGTGACGGTTGTACACGTAGGGCGAATCTTGGGCTGTTTTCGTGCTCTCTTCTCGTTACGGTTGGGGTATAACGTCCTTTTTTTTTTTTTAAGTTTGTTCATTTTGAGAGAGAACGTGAGAAGGGGAGAGGCAGAGGGAGAGAGAGAATCCCTCTGTGCTGTCACCATCAACGCCGGACATGGGGCTTGAACCCATGAACCCGTGAGATCATGACCTGAACGGAAGTGAAGAGTCGGATGCTTAACTGAGCTACCCAGGCGCCCCCATACTGGGTGGGTGTCTTGGCATCCTCTCCCCCGCCCCTCCTCTTGTCCAGCTCAAGTGCCGGGAGGGTCGGGCCCACGGGTGCCTGCAAGGCCGAGAATGTAACTTCAAACCTGCAAGGCGAACTGTCAGCGGGCTTTATAACGGACCGACAGTCCGAGACTACAGATGTGGGGGTGGGGGGCGTGGCCCCCAAGGGAAATGTCCATTCAGAGGCCCCAGAAAGCGCCTCCGCAACGAAGGGCAGGCGTTCCCACGTTCCGCACAGCCTGGACGGTTAGCGCGGGGTCTCCCATCCCAGCTGCACCCTGGCCTGCGCTGCGACCTCAGGCCCCTTCCCTGTTTCTTAGTAAAATGGGGACTCTGGTGACAGGGACGCCCACGGGCGGGTGCCTGGGAGGAGTCTGTGAGCCAGTCAGGAGCACTTGAGATCAGCCTTGGCTGATGGACGTTCTCGGACTTTCGGAGCCTTTCACGGTGCTTCCGGCTGTGAGCCTCTAGGCTGTTGCTACGCAGGCGGGCCCCGGGAGGGCGACAGGAGGGTCCTCCTTGCTGCCAAGCGTGGGAGCTGAGGCGGGTTTGCTACAGGCTCCTGGCTTGCTGAGCCCCTTGGTGTCCACGTTTGGGGTGCTCACACGAGCACGTGACTCTCGGTGTGGTCACCCGCCCTCTACACGCTCGTCTTTGGCGGAAGTATCAGTTGCCCAGACTGACATGGTGTTAAGACGTGTGTACTGGGGAACACAGTGTGTGTTGTTGGCATTTCTGGAATAATAAGCAGCTTCGACGCCCGCTTCCTGCTTTGCTCTCCTGCGGTGTTTTTCTTGAGGGCAAACGGCCACTGTGGCCGTGGGCAGGGCCTGGTCTGGCCTCGGTGGCGTCCGGCGGAGCAGCCGTGGGCTCTGTCTGCAGACTGGTGCAGTGAGTTACCGCAGCCTCTGCTTCGGTAGGTTCACCGGGGGCCTCAGATCGTTCTGGGCCCCCCTGAGCAGGAACGTGGTGTTTCCGGGGCGGGAAAGGCTAAACCGGATGTGCTTCGGCTGGGCAGTCGTCTGTGATGTGCACGTGCCGTCTTCCGTTCCCGATTGACATCGATGATGGCGGGGGCGGGTGCTCGAGTGTCGTCCCCGGTGGGTCTGCGTGGCTTGGTCTGAGACCTGGGGCGGAAGAGCCTGCCCGGGACAGGGGAAGGGATGCTCTGATGCGGGGTGGTGTGGGCTGAGACCACGCGGTCCTCTTTGGCAGTCCCGCAGCCCTCAGGATGCCTGCTTTCCTTCTCAGTCTGCTGGAGCGCTCCCCTGATGGGGCTGCTTGACTCTGAACCTGCCTCCCGCCTTTGCGACTGCACCTCGGTGCACGAATGCGGTGTGCTGGGCGCTGTCGGCGAGGGGAGGGCAGCCCCGAACCCACGGGAGGGGACTCGGGAGGACGTTTCGTGGGGCTGATGCCAGCGGTCTCCCGCTCCTTTGGTCGCAGCTCCTTCATGTCTGCCTGGGCGCGGCGACGGTGTTTTCCCCAAAGAACACATAATTTGAAATAGGCTGCGGTAGGACGTCCTTGGGCTTCAGCATCTCTGGCTTTTGTTCCTCTGGATTGTGTGAGAGAGGGTTGAAGTAGGGGCAGGAGCCCAGGCTGCCAAAGACTCTTCAGCGTAGCAGTAGATCCCGAAACGCGTGGTCCGCGACAAGTGATTTTTAATGTCAACGACAGCCGTGGAACACAAAAGGCCTGTAGCAGGAAACGGAATGAAAACAACCGCAGAAGAGTTACAGCGAGTCATGGTTCTGAAGCTCCCTCTCTGCAATCCCACACCACCCTGCTCTCTTTGGCAACTTGGTCCAGTTCTAGGTTTTTAATGCGGCCGAGCCCTTATTTCACCAGAAAGTTATGCGGAAGGTTAATCTGCAGGGCTGGGCTCTTTGTTAGGAATCTGCCAGGGTGTCCCAGTTGCACACGGTGTCTGGGAGGTGTTGATCATGTCGTGGACGAGCTGAACCAAACCCGGGCACGGGACACTGGCGCTTGGGGAGAAGAGGGTGATGTGACGTTCCATCCGGATTCACTCCGGATTCCCCCACCCGACAACAGGTGGCTTTACTCCGTGTGAGCAGATTTTCTTTGGTAAGGACCCCAGTGCAATACACAAACCAGTATTTGAGGTGCCAGACCGTGTGTGAAGGGTTTAGAGGCATCTCTTGAGAGAACGCTGCTCATAGTTGCGGTTGAAAGGTACAGACCAAAGCTGAACAAGATCTAGGCCGAGCTGGTGAGGTCTGGACTGCTGGTTGTCGTCCACTTGGAAAGTGCTGCTGAATCGGGGGAAAGAGTTGCGATCCCGAAGCCTAATTTTAGGCAGAGTACTAAATGTTCTCCGGTTTGTGGCCCTGGTTGACCGCTTTCTGATGAATTGAACAAACGGTAGGTTGGGCGCCTCCTGCTGGCCACATGAGGCCGGGACGGGAGCCAGTCACAGGAAACTCCCCGCCCCCGGAGCCCTTCCATTCTGGAGCAGGGGGGACCAGAACCCAGTCCTTAAAG